CAAGATGGGAGTGGACCCTGAGTGTGGGCGCTTTAGGGCAAGAACTTTTTTAAAAACAGCTTTATTGAGATATAATTCACATACCATACAATTAACTCATTTAAACTGTACAATTCAGTGGATTTTAGTATATTCACAGAGCTGTGCCGTCATCACCACAATTGATTTTAGAGAATTTTCCTCACTCTCAAAGGAAACTGCTTACCCTTTAGCAGTCACTCTCCATTCCCACACCTCCCCACCAGCCCTTTTGTTGTTAGCTGCCGTCAGTCAACTCTGACTCATGATGACCCCATATGTGCAGAGTAGATCTGCCCCATAGAGTTTCCAGTGGCTGTGAACTTGTGGAAGTAAGTCACCAGGCCTGTCTTCCACGGTGTCTCTGGGTGGGTTCGAACCACCAACCTTTCGGCAGGTAATCGAGTGCTTAACCTTTTGGGTCATCCAGGAAATCCCTCAAACAAAAACCAAACCCATTGCCGTAGAGTTGGCAACCCTATAGGACGGAGTAGAACTGCCCCATAGAGTTTCCAAGGCTGTAAATCTTTATAGGAGCAGACTGTGACATCTTTCCCCCACGGAGCATCTGGTGAGTTTGAACTCCACCCTTTTGGTTAGCAGCTGAGCCCTTAACCACTGCACTACCAGGGCTCCTAACGACTCCCTAGGCAACCACTAATCTACTTTCTGTCTATAAATTAGGGCAAGAATGTCTTAAAGAGATTTGGAGCTTTCTCTGAGAGCCTCTTTCTCCTGGTGGTGGGCGGTGGTTTGCACTGGGTAAACCCATGTGCCTTTAGCAGGGATATGGGAGGGTGGAAGGAGCAATTTCACAGCAGTGGGTTTGATTTTGGGGATGGTCAAGACAGACTCGCAGTGTGTGTGGTTGGGTTGTAGACTGAATGTGAAACACTGTCATGGATTGAATTGTGTCCCCCAAAAATGTGTGTCAACTTGGCTAGGCCATGATTCCCAGTATTGTGTGATTGTCCACCATTTTGTCATCTGATGTGATTTTCTTGTGTGTTGTATATCCTACCTCTATGATGTTAATGAGACAGGATTGGAGGCAGTTATGTTAATGAGGCAGGACTCAATCTTTAAGATTTTGTTGTATTTTAAGTCAGTCTCTTTTGAGATGTAAAAAAGAGACATGAGCAGAGAGACAGGGGGACCTCCTACCACCAAGAAAGTAGTGCCGGGAGCAGAGCGCGTCCTTTGGCCCCGGGGGTCCCTGCGCTGAGAAGCTCCTAGACCAGGGGAAGATTGATGACAAGGACCTTCCTCCAGAGCCGACAGAGAGAGAAAGCCTTCCCCTGGAACTGGCGCCCTAAATTCGGACTTCTAGCCTAGTAGACTGTGAGAGAATAAATTTCTCTTTGTTGAAGCCATCCACTTGTGGTATTTCTGTTATAGCAGCACTAGATAACTTAGGCAAGCACCTTCAAGAGATTAATACTGATTGCCAAACACACTCATTAAGCTTTAGCCCGGACCTGAGCCTAACTGGAAGCGTTACAGGGAGAAACCCGTGAGCACCCCGGGGAGCGAGCACCTGGGGGAGTGAGCACCCTACAAAGATGGCTATTTAAAATTCTATAACATGTGCAGTGATTCCTCCTCCCAGTCGTGAGGTAGTCAGCCTCAGGGTAATGTTTGGGAGAGTGAGTCAAGAGATGCTTCTGAAAGAGCTGGTGCAGTAAATAATATGAGAATGTTTATTGTTAAACCTTAATTGGAAAATTACCATGACAGTAGGAAATTGCCCTACTAACATCAGTTATAGGTGGTGGTAGTTTTGCTACTAATGAAGGGCCAAAATCCCTGTCTTCTAAAATGGTGTGTTTTGCTTTACTGAAAACTCAATCTTTGTGCACCTTTCCCCAGAATCTTAGTTCTTTTGAACGGGGAAGCACCTTAGAGATGATCTCTTCTGCTCAAACCATTTCATTTTATCAACTGAGACAATAGGTGGCTCAGGACCACGTCCCCTTTCATGACATTACCCCTTCATGACATTCACATGTGGGTGTGTGCCTCACGCCGCATCTCATCATGCAGCGGTGCCCCACTGAGGAGTTGGGGCGGGGCGGGGGAGGAGAGTCCAAAATGGATGTGCTTCATGAGCACCCCCACTTCTGGTGAGACTCACCCGCTGATGTGGGGCCCCAGGCCAGAGGCCAGATAGACTGACGAGAACCTGGCATCTGGGGACCATGCCGCCTCCTCACACTGTCACACTGTCCGTTTCCTAAGATCCCGTCTGCCTGTGATCGCTGTTAGGGGCAGAAGCCACATCTTCCTTCTAGTTTGGCCCTGGTGACTCAAGTGTGATGTGATCACATATGCATATAGGGACTTACACAGTGCAGAAAGTCATATGACGCCCTTTTGGCAAATAGCAAAATGTGGCCTCTTTTGTTTATTTGTAACAGTTGAAGGAATTCGGGAAAAGAAACTAATGGTAAAGGCCCATAGGAACTGTCTTTAAAACTTTGTTGTCTTTATTGCCTTCATACCCAACATGGGGAGAACAGGTGTGTCATTCTCCAGGTGGAGCTCACCTTAGCCAGCCTGGCTCACCTGTCTGGAGCCTTTGGCCGGACTGCCAGCTCCAAGCCCCTTTCCTTCCATCTCTAGTTCAGGGACACCCTACCCATCCTCGGGCTCCTGAGCCTGAGTGGACACTGGCTCTGTGACTTACCAAAGAGGGCAGGCCTCCAGGCCTGGAGACACCACACAGCTTCAGAAAGGACCTTAGAAACAGGTGTATGGTACCTTTCAGATGTTGACAGAGGAAATCTCCACAGGGCTTTGGGGAACTAAAGAATGTGGAAATGCCTTCAAATGTTTCTTGAAATATGACTTACGAGAAGGAAACTACAGAGTATTTTAAAGTCAGTTTGGGTTGCCCTTTAAGTAAAACCACAGGGGTGATGTTGACTTCATATTGGAGACACACTTGCCACCCCCCACCCCAATCCCTAATGTTTTGGTATCGAGGCCACATCTCCCAGACTATCTCTCACCCCAGGAAACAGTATCCAAATCCCTTTGTTCTGATTTTAGGTTTGAAAAATAAAAGCTAGTACCTATGGGCCAGATGTCCCTGGGGTGGTACAAATGGTTAAGCTGTCGGCTGCTAACCGAAAGGTTGGTAGTTCAGAGCCTTGGAAAAAAGGCCCGGTGATCTGCTTCTGAAAATCAGCCATTGAAAACCCTCTGGAACATTGTTCTACTGTGACACACATGGGGCTGCCGTGAGTCAGAATCGACTCCACAGCACCTGTTTTTTTATTTTGTTTGTTTACCTACAGATCAGATAGCGGCCTGGCACCTGGAGAGGCCACAGCCCCTCTGCTCCTGGACCCCTCCCTGGGAGAGCCAGTGCTGGCCCAGTCCAGCCAGTTAATTGTGCTGATTTTCTTCATCCAGTGTGGGTGGCTCGGCTCTCAAAGTGGATATGTGAATGAGCAGCACGTACGCCGCCCCATCACTTCATGACAGTGGGTCTGGGGAGGGTCCTCCTGAGTGGAGCGCTGAGGGCGCCCCTGCGCCTTTCGCTGTCATTGGGCATCTGGGACCTGTTCTTTTCTTGTTTTTAGGAAACTGCTTTAGTAAGAGCAATAGGGGAGTCAGATGAATGGGGAGTTTGCTTGTGCTGGTGGAAAGTTGAAGGAATGTTTAGTATTAAAAATCACTAATGAATTAAAAACGAGCCCAGGTGTCACAGTGGTTAAGCACTTGGCTGCTAACAGAAAGGTTAGTGAAAAGACCTGGTGATCTGCTCCCATAAAGATGACGGCCTAGAAAACCCTGTGGAACAGTTCTGCTCTGTCACATGTGGTTGCCATGAGTTGGAATCCACCCGATGGCACCCAGCAACAACAACCAAATTAAAAATAGAGTCAGGAATAGCTTCATACCAGTTACAGTTCGAAAGACTTGAACGTCTCTTGAGCGTTGAGTCGCTTAGCAGGATCCAGATGCCTTTGTGAAACTATAAAAGTATGTTGCAGGTAGGCGTTTATGTTCATGTTATTTCCATCACCTCGCCAATGCACGCGCGTGCGCACACACACACACGCCTTTTTGACAAAGGGCCTTTCTAAACATTTGTCACAGGCCACCTGTGCAGCTCGTCTCCACGTGGGCAGCCTGCTGTCGTTTGTTTTTCACTAAGTCAAGCAGTTAGCAACTTGTTGGTAGCCTGTCAGCTTAGAAGTTCGAAGGTGAGCGGGACGAGTGCCACCTGGGTTGTGGGTGGTGGTTTCTCAGCGATGGATGAGCCTCGGTACGCTCTCCTTCTCATACAAGCATGCCGGCACTGACTTTGATACCTGAGGCTGCCTTGCGCTGCTGCCAGCATTTGGTTTGGTTGCGTAGAGTCACTTGGCAGTTGGAAAATGTAGGCTTGTGGTTTCTAAGCCCAGAAGCTAATTGTGAAAGCAGTCCGTTAAACTTCGGGCGGTGATGCCTGTTCTCCGACACTCCTACCAGCGTGAGTGTGGGTGGCATGGCCACCTTGTCATACACTGTTTGCTTTGTGTCTTCTCGGGAGCGTGGCAGGAGTCGGGTTGGCCGTGCATAAATGGTGGCTGTGTGACCTCACTTTTCCAGCAAATGTTCTCTGCGAAGTGGTGACCGCCTCCCCCTCCCCTCCCTGCCAGGTATCGCAGCAGATTGTAGTGGACAGGAAGTGGCTGTCTGTCTGGGACCTGTTGGAGATGACATCAGATGTATTTATCTGGGAATATACAGGTCTCTTGTTTACATACCCAGTTAAAGGGAAAATTGATGTCAGAATTAACCTAAATCTCTGCTAATTAGCCTAATGAAAGCATAAAGATAGCTTTTGTGGCACTTACGAACCACAGAGTGATCCTGAGAGTTGTTTAAGTTAGATCTTGTTAGGTTAATTACAGCCTTTCTTGACTGAGTTCTGGCTTTTCTCCTCATTCTCCATTCTGCGCCTGACACGCTGTGTTCCCTCCATGTAGGTGTACGTTTCGGTTCCCCAGCACAGCCATAAAGATCCAGTTCACATCACTGTACCACAAAGAAGAAGCCCCAGCGTCTCCCCTCCGGCCGCTCTACCCTCAGATCTCCCCGCTGAAGATCCACATTCCGGAGCCGGACCTCCGGAGCATGGTCAGCCCTGTGCCCTCCCCAACTGGCACCATCAGGTACGTGCGTGGCCCACTCCCCTCTGTCCCTGGTCAGCCGGTGGTGGTAGGTGCGCAGGAAGCATGTGCCCCACCACTTCCCCACACTCTGCGTTTGTCTGAGAAAGAACATGGTACAAGTGTTCCTCCTTTTATGCAGCAGTAGATATGGTTCTGGAAAATTGCATATGAATGGAAATTTTGAAACTATTTTAGGTACATCAGGGGACTTGACTACTTAGATAAAAATGTTTGGTGAATTCTCTTTTAAAGTGAAGAAATCCTACCTAATTAATCACTTTTGCCTGTTTGAAATTTTGTTTATTAGAGCATTTTCAAGCAAGCACAGCTGTGATTTTTTTTTTTCCCCGAGACATTGAAAATGTTTTCAAGTAATATTCATGTGCAAGGATTTGGTGAGCTTTGTTTTTCTACATTTCATTTGTGGAAATTCTTGAGAAGTTTCATAAATGAATCTAGATTTTGTAGAAAGGAATGCCCTTCTCAAACTTTCTTATCTTTGACATATTAAACAAAGGTAAGCCTTGGGGGAAGGTTTCGGTGTACAGTGTATAAATAGAGCTCCATGTAGCAAGCAGCTACATGAACTTGCAACTCAAACAACTGCCCCAGTACTTTCCCACACAAGACAACCGTTGCCCTCCGGGATACAACCCAGGTTTTCATGTCTGCTACTCATTTTGCCCTACAGAATGCTACAAAGACATTTATTTGACAGTCAAATTTTAATAAATTTATAAATGTTCCATGGCTTCACCAAGGACGTTAAGTGAAACTGGTATTTCTTCCTTTACCGCTAGCAAATGGCAGAAAGTATGCGGTGGCTTCTGGTACTATTTGGTGCTAGTGCCCTGCTTCTTGCCAAGACACCGGAAGCTTTCCCACCATTGCTTTTGCACAGTTTTACAAATGTCAACCCAACCCAGTGGAAAACAGACCTCACAAATCTGAACTCCCTGAGGAAAGTGTCAGGCATTCCCAGGGGTCCATTTGTGAACCACATGTTGAAAACTTCTGCTGTCTATAGTCTCATGCATCCCTGCAGCCACCACCCGTCTGTCAGTGTCTCCTGTTATGGTGGCTTATATATTGCTATGATGCTGGAAGCTATGCAGCCGGTATTTCAAAGACCAGCAGGGTCACCCATGGTGGACAGGTTTCAGCAGAGCTTCGAAACTAAGACAGGCTAGGAAGAAAATTCTGCCAATCTACTTCTGAAAATTAGTCAGTGAAGACCCTATGGATTACAACAGAATATTGTCCGATATAGTGCTGAAAGATGAGCCCGTAGAATTGAAGGATTCTGTGGGCAAAATATTGAATGACGTAGGAAGCATCAAAAGAAGATAGGAAGAACACATAGAGTCATTGTACCAAAAAGAAGTGATTGACATTCAGCCATTTCAGGAGGTAGCATATGATCAAGAACCGATGGTACTGAAGGAAGAAGTCCAAGCTGCACTGAAGGCATTGGCAAAAAACACGGCTCGAGGAACTGATGGAATACCAATTGAGATGTTTCAGTAGATGGATGCAGTGCTGGAGGTGTTCACTCATCTATGCCAAGAAATTTGGAGGACAGCTTCCTGGCCAGCCAACTGGAAGAGATCCATATTTGTGCCCATTCCAAAGAAAGGTGATCCATCAGAATGTGGAAATATTGAATAATATCATTAATATCACACGCAAGTAAATTTTGCCGAACATAATTCAAAAGCGGTTGCAGCAGTACATTGACAGGGAACTCCTGGAAATTCAAGCTGGATTCAGAAGAGGACATGGATCAAGCAATATCATTGCTGATGTCAGATGCATCGTGGCTGAAAGTAGAGAATACCAGAAAGAGATTTACCTGTGTTTTATTGACTATGCAAAGGCATCCGACTCTGTGGGTCATAACAAATATGGATAACGTTGCAAAGAATGGGAATTCAAGAACACTTAATTGTACTCATGAGGAATCTGTACATAGACCAAGAGGCAGTCATTCAAACAGAACAAGGGGATACTCTGTGGTTTAAAATCAGAAGGGGTGTGCATCAGGGTTGTATCCTTTCACCATACTGATTCAGTCTGTATGCTGAACAAATCCAAGAAGCTGGACTGTTTGAAGAAAGTGGCATCAGAATTGGAGGAAGATTCATTAACAACCTGTGGTATACAGATGACACAACCTTGCTTGCTGAAAGCAAAGAGGACTTGAAGCGCTTACTGATGAAGATCAAAGACTATAGCCTTCGGTATAGATGACACCTCAACATAAAGAAATCAAAAATCCTCACAACTAGACCAATAAGCAACATCATTATAAATGGAGAAAAGATTGAAGTTGTCAAGGATTTCATATTACTTGGATCCACAATCAACACCCATGGAAGTAGCAGTCAGGAAATCAAACAACATATCACATTGGGCAAATCTGCTGCAAAAGACCTCTTTAAAGTGTTAAAGAGCAAAGATGTCACTTTGAGGACTAAGGTGCACCTGACCCAAGCCATGGTATTTTCAGTTGCCTCATATGCATGCGAAAGCTGGACATTGAATAAGGAAGATTGAAGAATTGATGCCTTTGAATTATGGTGTTGGCGAAGAATACTGAATATACCATGGATGCCAGAAGAGCAAACAAATCTGTCTCAGACTTAGAAACGAAGATGGCAAGACTTCAGCTCACATACTTTGGACATGTTATCAGGAGCTACCAGTTGCTGGAGAAGGACATCATGCTTGGTAAAGTAGAGGGTCACCGAAAGAGAGGAGGACCGTCAACGAGATGGATTGATACAGTGACTGCAACAGTGGGCTCAAACATAGCAAGGATTGTGAGGATGGCAGGACTGGGCAGTGTTTCATTCTGTTGTACATAGGCTCGCTATGAGTCGAAAACAACTCAGTTGAGCACCTAACAACAACAACAGATGAACCCCTGAAATTGGAAGATACTCAAAATATACAGTGACTGCAATAGCAGACTCAAGTCAACCAACGATCCTGAGGATGCTGCAGGGCTGGGCAATGTTTTGTTCTGTTGTTCACAGGGTCCCCTTGAATCAAACCCTAACTCACACAATGCCACCTGACAACAACAGTCTCATCAAATACATGTTCCTTCTTTTGCTAACCAACCATACTCTTGTAGTTCCTGTCTTTTGCCCCTTTTAATTCCTCTACTCAGTTTTGCTTCAGTTAGCGTTTTACTTAGGCTTTTTGCTTTCCTGCCATGAAATTTTGGTTACAAGTTAGGAGTCATTTTCATTGAGCTGCTTGGAGCTGGCTTCCTCTTCCCCAAAGCCAGTGTCTGGATGTGCCTCTCCCTCACAGAGAGAAGAGTTCATAGACAGCATTGAGAAATGGCCTGGTGCCGAGCTCAAGGGTGGTAACTGGAGTCAAGTCAGCTTCATTGGGCCTTGCTCTCCTGCTCTGTGAGGCCAGCACTATCATCTCATCATTCTCTGAGATGATGATGATGGTGATGGGTAACAACTGTTATATGCCAGACACAGATCAGCTCTTTGCAGGCCTTATTTAGTCCTTAGAGCTCTTTGAGACAGATTGCTTTTTCCATGCTCATTTCTAACTTCTAGTAATTGCTCTGTTCTAAAATCCGAAATTTACTATGTGATCTCATTGTTCCTTCATACATCTAACTTGAATTTAATCCAAAACACGAGTACTCCATTTGAGACCACTGTTCAGCTGTGCTGTGATGTGCTCGTACGTTTACTTAGTGGTGTAATTTATACAGAGATAAAAATCACATGCAGTAAAATGGTGCCACCACTGTAGAAAACAGCCTGGCAATTCCTCAAAAGGTTAAACAGAAGGTTACCACATGACCCAGAAATTCATTCCTAGGCATGCACCCATGAGAATTAAAAGCAGAGTTAGAGCCAAGGTGGCAGAGTAGTCAGATGCTTCTGGTGGACCGTCTTACACCAAAGACCCTAAAAAACAAGTGATTCAATTATATATGGCAGTCTGGGAGCCCTGAACATCAAAGGCAGTGTTGAGGAAACAGACTGAGTGGCAGGGGGAGGGAGAGATGGTTTGGAAGCAGCGAGGAGTTGCTCGAACTGACCCGGCGAGAGCCCGAGCCCTTCAGGCCTGATCAGCTCATGGGTGAGCGGTGAGGCAGGCAAGCAGCAGGGCTCGGGAGGCACGTTTTCTGCACTGGGAGAGAGCCAGCACCAGAGAGTCTACACGGCCACCCAGAACCAGTAAGAAGCAGCCCTCACTGGCAAAAGATAAGTACTTGTGTGCGGCTTACCGTGTGGATCAAAAAAAAACCCCTTAAAGAAAAGCCTGTCTCCCATTTACCCCCCCGCTCCCTGCTCTGCACTGGGTCCCAGACTGACTTCAGCAATTGCCGAGTCTTCTGGGCCGAAAGTAGGATCCGTGACACGCCCGGAGCCATTCTCCCTGCCTTGGAGAGTGAACAAATTAACAAATGGAAAAAAATACACTGCTGGCTCCCCAAGCCAGGAACCCAGGGTAGGCACAGCTCCTTTGCCTACGCACAGGCATAACGGATCCACGGTCTCTGAGTGCCTTTCCCCCTGCATAGACTTGTGTGGGCCCATCTGAACAGTGTAGGCCCTCATTATCGCAGTACAACAGGATATATACCAGTCCTCTAACTTCAACTGTTTCGTCCGTGAAGTGGCAGGTTCTTGACATTTGACACTGCACGTTAAGCAGGGTCTTCACCTACCCACATCAGGGGCCTGAGGACTGGTGGCTCCACCCACACCACCTAGCCACCTGCGAGAGGGGCCCGTGAATAAGAGGTGCCCCCAGTCCTTACAGCCAACAGCATTAGGTGTTCATAGTTCGGCTGCAAAACCCACCCACCTATGCAGTCTAAGGAACAGGGACACACCTTCCTCCTGGACACTAGGGGGTGGCCATCAGCCCTATGCCTTGGTCAGAGTGTGTCCCCCTGCTACAGCCAGATGTCTGTGCCTACACCAATCACCCATGCCTATCTAGGACTGTAATTG